ATTCTAAGAGAACAGAAAACAGAACAGTTCTTTACCATTTTGCAAACCATTTGCAAGTACACAAATTTTAAAGTTCTCAATTAAAAAACCTCTAGACGTGATCATTTTCAATCGTTAATAACTTAATAACTATTACGATTTTTGCAAAATGGTATATGACTTTTCTTTCCAGTTTGATCTGATTAATCTTCGCAACTTTTCGTTTCCAAAAAATCCTGAACACTCTCTGTATATATTTATATATATATATATAAAATTATGTATATATATATATAAATCTCAGGCTGATACTTTACTTAGGTATAATTGACTTTTTATGACATCTGTAATTTTTTTAGAAATTTTAGTGAGAATTAATCTGATATCGAGATTGTGAATTCTTGCTAATAATTTTATTAGTCACATTTTTCTTTCTTTATCTCTCCCTCTCTCTCATCGAAACATTTAATCCCACTTGAATTTTCAATATATTCTATATTAAAATGAATTTTATATATATATATATATATATATAGGGATGCACTTTGTCAGAATGGGGAATATTTTTCGGCTAAAATTAGAGACGCGATCGAGGATACAAAATACCTGGTGCGATATCTAATAGAGAGTTACATCCACATCGACTCGCCGACAAATGAGAATAAAAGGAATAATAAAGTTTTAATCGCGCCACGCCTGCAATGCAAACAATTTATCAAATTTATCAGACGCAGGAAAATCGTTCGGAAGAGAATGTACGAAATTGTATTTCGCTCACATTTAAATTCGTTGCAAGAGAGCGAAAGGAAAAAACAGCGGAATCCACAGTGTAGCAAAATTAACCGGATAAATATTAATGCGTAATTTCGTTCTCTTTTTCTTTTTTGCTCGAGGGTCACACGCGGCGCGCGCGTTTGCATTCGAGCGGAACGTAAATTTGCCATCCGAATTTGCGTATGCGTGAGAACGCACGAAACGTTCACTTTTGCCTTTGACGCAAATGGGACGTGAATTGTGCTGCGCTAATGCCTAACGGGCATCACCAATAATCATCCCGGCAAACGTATTAATCGATACCGTACGACATCCAACGGGTGACAACAGCGTTATGTAATAACGATCCCCTATAATGCAAACATCAGCACACACTATCAAATTAAATCATAATAAATACCCCCATTGATATCTACCATAGGACCATAGGACCAGCATGTGACGTCAAATCTTATTCGCTCGAAATATATCGCATTTTGTATTGTAATAGTGTCCTTATCGCGCGCGTTGGTCAAACGGAAGCATCATTAAATCAGAAAACACTAACAACACGCGTGACTGTGTATCTCGACTTTAGTAATTATTCTAATTATCACTGCCGTGTGTGATTTCCTGTTACGCCAGAAAGCCGAGCATAATTAAGCGCGCGTATTTAACGCGGTTGCATCCTTTCCGCCAGCATTCAATCAATCTTGTAATTTATGTAAAAATATATATGACGCTTATCGCGCAATGCATACATACCGAATTCTCACCGAAGGCCGATTATGTATTATACGACGGAAGAAAACAGGTAATCCGGTGACGTATACAGCTTGACACACGCAGAGATCAAAGGGATCACATATGGAAGCACTTCCAGGACGTACTTGGGATGTCCGTTGACAACGTCAAATGCAGTATCGATCGGAGCGCGGCGCGATAATCAATCTCCATCGGCGGCTCGTTTCAAAAATCGGTCATTTTTGCCGACGACATTGTTGCGTATCACACGCTTTTAGTAGCGAGCATACGGTTCTCCGAGTGGCTACCTTGGACGGGAAACTCAATTTGCAAAATGAAATTCATGGTTGACCGATGATGATCGTCGAGAGATGGGAGACAATCAATCCGCTTGATACGGCACTACCCCGCGGGGTTAGATCACTATTGCCGGTGGCTGACCCCCGATTCAGCAGCACGTTGCGCGAATTAGTCCCTGGCGTTTGCTCGCAAAGGTATCGTCCAATCATGCGAGTGCATCGCGCGCCGCCGTGATATGCGTGGCTGAGCCGCCTAAATCGAGTCTTCCACCTTCCAACTTAGCCTTTAATAGCTGCGTCGGGCTGCATTCAAACCACTCGTCCCTTTGACCTCCACGTGGCGGTAAAGACATGAATTTTGCACGGAGGATAATCTCGGAGTGACTTCAAGAACTGTGAAGACAAGGAGATCGCGGGAGATCAAAGGATCTCTCGATCAAAATCAACCTACTTTCGCATGGATATTTAATCAAAGCAGAAACGTGCAATTCAACAATTGTGCGAAGATCGTTTCTTTCGAATCTATTGTAAACGCCGTTTAAATTATTAATTCACGTTTACGTTGTGCCGTGAGGTCGAAGAAATGCTTAAAGTATTATAGATATTTGTCGAGATCCTTCACACAGACAGAGAGTTGAGACACGAGTATACACGAGAAGAAAAGTAACTCGAGCCGAGTATCATTCCCGGAGAAACATTATTTCTCTCGCTCTTTAGGAAGAAATCGCGAAACTGCACTTAAACCGCGCCGTCTAGCTCGTCCGTACGAGGGCTAATTTATTCGAGTTCGATGCAACTCGACTGTATCGCTCCGATTTGATCTGATCGAGGCGGAAACGCCTGATACACGAGTGATATGAAGATTGTTCGTTCTTTCAAATCTATCAGGTTGGCAACAAAGTCACAAGTCTTTTTTAGATAGATGGATAGATGGCTTTACTTGTCATTAAACGCAACTAACTTCACTCCAAATCCTATATAACCTTTATACCATTTGACATTACCAGCTTTCTTTAAGAAAAAAAAAAGTGCGTCACGCGGTAAAGAATTGTTTGCTTGGCATTGAAATAAAAATGGAAAATCAAAACGAGCATTTCCGCCATATTTTATTTTTTTATTTCCAAAAAGGAAAGACAGGCTGTGCAAGCCTGTTAAAATGTGCTGTGTATGGTGAGGAATCCTTAAGTGAGAATGCCAGTGTCAGCGTTGGTTCGCTCGTTTTCGTTCAGATTTTTCTATGAAAAATGCACCACGGTCGGCCAATTGAGGTCGATGACGACAAAATAAAAGAATTGCTTGAATCCAACCGTGTCATTATTATATGACACGGGAGATCGCTGAAATGGTAAACGTATCACACATGAAAATTGAAAACCATTTTAAATACCTTGGATACGTTAACAAACTCTATATTTGGGTTCCACACACACACACACACATGAGCTCAGAGAAATTCACCTCACCAAAACGCATCAATATCAGCGATTCTCTCCTGAAACGATCCGTTTTTGAAACAAATATTAATTGGCGATGAAAAATGGATTGCTTACGACAATGTGGAACGAAAAAAATCGTGGAACAAACGTGATGAGCCGTCACAAAGCACTTCTAAAGCAGACATTCATCAAAGGAAGATTTTGCTATCTGTTTGATGGAATGGATAAGGATATTCTGTTTTTTGAACTACTTGAACGTAATCAACGATTGATTCGGAATTGTACTGTCGTCAATTGAACAAAGTATACGATCAAGCAATCAAGCTGAAGCGCCCAGAACTGATGAATCGCAAAGATGTTGTCTTTTACCATGACAACGCTAGACGACATATACATACATTGTTGGTCATCCGCCAGAAATTATTGCAGCTTGGTGGGATGTGTTACCACATCCATCATTTCGTCTGACCTTGCAACATTAGATTACCATTTATTTTCCTTGCAAAATTCCTTGAAGGGAAAAAAATTCGATTTTGACGAGGCTATCAAATGGTATGATGAGGACCAGAAGTTCTACGAGGCCGGAATCATGAAGCTACCAAATGTCAAATGGCGAAAGGTCATTGAATTAAACGGATAATATATTGCAGAATAAAGTTTTTGCTTTGTGTGAAAAAATCGCTTTTCATTTACATGGAAAAAGAATGACATGACTTTCTTGCCGGCCTGATATCTTAAGAGCCGAGCGATTATTAATTCATCTTTACATCATGTCGTGAGATCGGAGAAAAACGCTTAAAGCGTCACAGATATTGTCGCAATCTTTCGTCACACAGACGAGTTGAGACACGAGGAGAAAAGTGACTCGAGTCGGGTAGCTTTCTCAGAGAGACATTACTCCTCGCGTTCCTTGGAAAGAAATCGCGAAACTGCACTTAAACCGCGCCGGCTGGCACGCTCGCGCTCGCGTCTGTGCGAGGGTTAATTTATTCGAGTTCAATGCAACTGCCGGGCTGAAAAAGTTTAAACCGCAGAAAAGACTTCCGCGGGGAGAAAGACCTGATAATTGCGTTTGCACCGCCGTTGCGTTTTCAACGTGCGCGCTCGGAAATTACGCCCCGGAACTCTGACGGCGCATTAAATAGCCGGCAGACATGTTCGCGAGCAAAACAATGAGAGACTATAGAGATCGTTTGCGACACGCACGTCGACCGGCCGAGGATTTACGGCGCCGTGGGTGCTTTCCGTGGTCTTTGTTCTAACACGACCAAGACGTTGCAGACTCCCGGGCCAGTATTGTATCAGCAGCGCGACGCTGGCGGGACACTCGCGGCAACTTCCTTCGCTAAACATTTATAGCGCGTTTCTGAATTTGAATCTCGCCCCCCGATTAAAAGTTTACTCGGACAAAGCAGAATCGCCCGAGAGCCGGCTCGATCGATCCAACGGCGACGGTACGCTGCTCTAATTTGATTCTCTGATTTATTCTACTTTCGACAAGTTGCTCCCGCATGCAAGACGCGTCGTATTTTTTAATATCCGTACGCCTTCGTCAAGCGGTTGATGTTGAAAATGGAGAAATGTGCTGAAAATTTAAGAAAAAGTATGCTAATTTTTAAATGCCAGTAAACACGACTCTGATTTTTAATAAATCTGTGCTCGTTGGTGATAAATCGGTAACCGGACCGGAGTGAAAACGCCGGTCCGCGATCAATTTTACGGCGAGAATTTTATGCGAAAGGAATCTGCGAGACTTTACGCTTGCCTTGACTTCACGTCCGCGTTGCAGGTGTCCTGGATGCGCAAGCGGGACATGCATATCCTGAGCGCAGGCACTCTCATGTACACGTCAGACCTGAGGTTCCTAGTGATCCATCCGGAGAAGTCGGAAAACTGGACGCTGCAGATCAAGTCGCCGCAGGAGCGCGACTCCGGCGTGTACGAGTGTCAGGTCAGCACCGAGCCGAAGATGTCGCTCAACTATAGCCTCAACGTGGTCGGTGAGTGCTGATCTGAATTATTCACCAACACCGCCGGCCTGGTTACGTAAAATCTCGGCCGCGCGTTCGCGTTGCCTTCCTCCGACGCGACGTCTCCCTGCCTCCTCTGACGAGACCTTACGGCGGCCGTCGATCGACAATCTATCTCGCCCGCGACCTCGAACCGCCCGCGAGAATCGAAGGGGTTAAAGTTTAAACGTCTTAAGTGCTCCGTCGCTCCGGGATTATCCTCTCGGTGTCGCGTCTCATCGCGCCGCTAGACCTTCGGGCTTCGGATTAACTTGTCGCGACTATTGACCGTCGACGTTGATATCCGAACGGTACACCGAACAGGAACACAGATAAACAGTGTACAGTGTATACAGAAAGAGGTTCAGTGACATTAGACGTTGGACGCTCGCTCGGATCGTCGAGCTGCAGTTACACTCGACTGCGAGAGTTTCGCTCCGCGCGCGTAATCCATCTGTTTGATCAATTCTGCTAATTCATCACACTTGGCAGTAGAATTGTACAGCCGATAAGAGATTAAGCGTAAGAGAGGTATTCGCGTTAACCATGGTTCATTTATTATCAAACGGCATTGTTGTGAAATTTGTACCGGGTAGATCACTATCTATTTTAATATATTGAATTAACATGTTATTTGCGTCGGTTGCACGCGCCTATATAGTATGTGCCGCGTCGGTATTTGCCTGGAGAATATTATTCCGCAATGTTGAAGCGTTTAATGCCTGCGTTATGTGCCTGCAACATACAATATTATGCCTGACATAATCGTCAGTGCGATAATGGGGGCGAATAATAGAATTAGCGACTGACTGCTGAAAAATTTCTCCGATTGCGAGGGTGTAAATCAAGCTCGGTTTTGTTGCGAACGGTATTGTTGATAATGACGCGCGATTGCGCACCCTCGTGCAACTGCGAGCGTGTCATTTTGCATCCCCTTTTGCACCCCCCTGCGCACAAAGTATACTTAACTGCAAAGACGCCTGGGAGACGTCATTTGTCTCGCACGTCATTTTAGACGTTGACGTCTCCGTGGCGCCAAGAATTATACGCCGATTATTGTGTTCACTTTTTTATAGCGTTCCTAAAGAAGCAAATACTGCGGGAACATAATAATATATTTTACGAATTGCTGAAGATACGTCATGTAATTTGTTTCAAGCCAACTATTTAGCGCGCATCGGGTCCTATTTTATTTATATGTTGAGGGATCAACGAGCTATCGTCGGGCGATATTCACGAGACGAAACCGCGCGTTTCCCCTCGCGGAGATACAGCAGTTAACCCTTTATAATCCTGCGCGACATCGGGGATTAACGTGTCGATTCGATAATTTATTCGGCCGAATAAACGCGCGTCGGTCGTATTTATGCCGCGCGCGCGCGCGCGCATACCTTTGCAAACAACCGGGCAAAAACGCGATTCTCTTGGCCGCGGCAAGATACACGATGCTACATTATCTGTAGCTTCTTTAAAGTTGAAGACAAGCACGCCGTGAAGATTTAGTTAGGCGAAGTCTGCACGATCCTTTCTTACGTTCGTGAATCTTTCAGCAGTTTCTGAGAACATTAGGGAAAACGACAACGATAACGCACGGCTTCCGTTTCTACCGTTGCGAGCGTCGTCGACCAAATAAAAAGCAACGAGCGAGAGAGGCCAACAGAAGCCAGCGGGTGGGGGAGAGCGAGTTATTTTTCCATCGAAAGTTGGAGCTAAGATACACTATAAACAACGTAAACTTCGTTGTACGTGCCATCCGGAAGGATTTCATATTGGCATAACTGCCGCGCCGGAGAACCAGTTCAACCTGTTCACCGCTGCAGTTCGCGACCCCCGTGAACTTTCAACTATAATAAACACCCGCCAGTCCCGTTGCAAATCGTCATAACTGCGCCGTCGTTCTCCCTCCGGCCGTTTCCTTCCTTCGGCGTGATTTCGCCGGGAGAAATTAATTGCGCTAATCGCGGCGTCACGCTCGCGACACGTCATACCTTTCGTCGTTCGTTCGCGCAGCTCGCGCTAATCAATACAAAAAGCGCGAAGGGCCGGGACTATTGGAGAACCGGCGTGTGTACAGCGATGCGGGCAAGTTCCTAGTGAAATTTTTAGATCCTTTCTAAACTTTTGTGTCCAACTTTGTTTGCACTTTAAACTCTCCCTCCTCCCTGATCTTTTTTCTTTAATTGACAAATTCCTCGATTTCGGCATCCGTGGATTCGCGCACGTGGATTCCTAATAATCATAAAATGTGAGTTCTCCTTATTGGAATATTGAATCGTTGGCCTGTGAAATTGTTTCACTCTCCGAAAGTCTTGAATCGCAAGAACCTAAGACTCTTTCCTCGATCGTGAAATTTTCCAATTTCCAGAACCCTGACCCTCCCGCCCCGCGCTGCTTTAAAACACAAGGTCCGGTCAAAGTTCCGCTTTGAAAAAAAGGACGAAAAGAACTCTCAGGGCTTCTCCTCGGCCCTCGGATGTAAAACGCCAATAGGACGAGGGAGTCAGTGGAAGCTCGCTGTGAGATGACTGTGGTGATGAAATGAGATAGAACCGAGAGAGAAGGGTGGCGGGACCGGAGGGAGGGGGAGGCGGAGGGAGCGACAGCACAGTCCGCGGAACACAAAAGGAGAAGACGCGGAGCGGGATTGGGGCAAAAGAAATTCATTTTTTTCTCGCTTCGCGACTTTTTTTCCAGCTTCGTCGTTCGCTCGTGTGGTTGGGTAAGGTTGAAAGCCAGAGAGCATGGATTTATCCGCTTCCGCTCGCGAATACAGGGCCGCCGCGCCGCAGAGACAACCGTTGAATGTTGAAGTCCGCTCGCGAGGCTAGGCAGAGGAATAAATGAGAAGAGGCTAGGGAGGAGGACGGGCGGGCGGGCGGGGGAGGGAAGGGTAGCGTACGAAGCGCAAGGGTGGAGAACGTAAGAGCTCCCGGCGTGCTGCGAAGAGAAAGGTGCTCGATAAGCGGCTTGGAGAAAACACGTCGACGTGAACCGAGTCCTTCTCCAGCTCCTGCCACATTCCTCCCTCGCCCTTCCTCTCGTCCCAAGCCTATCCCCCTCCTCTTTTTGCGCGCGTACGAGCACATCGATGCAGGTGCATCTACTCCGTCTGGAGCATTTATGCTCGGGCACGAGAGGAAAGGAGGGGCGAGGCAGAGAGAGGAAAGTCGGCGCGAAATAAATCGTCTTTCTTTCGCACGTTTTCTCGTCCGTAAAGTCGTAAAACATGAAGTCTACGGCGAGATCAATTTTACAAATCCGTTCTGCAAAAAGCCGGAAACGCGGCAAGTCCCTGCTGGCTGTAGCCCGAAAGATCTCATTGGCTATGAAGTATGCCCGTGGGACGGTGGGGCGAGGGGGAGGAGGAGGGTGAGAGTTGCGCGTTTCTGGTAAGTCTGCCGTAAAGATCGCCGGACGGTGATCGATTAAATAAATGTCTCGACAAAGACGAAGGGGAAATTGACTGAAAAGTGACGTAACGAAGCCACTCCGCTGAAATATCTTACGTAATCGATAGGAAGAATTACTTTATCGCGACGGATCACCAAAAAGATCACAACAAGAGAAAGCAGAGATCTTTAATAAGAGTATATAAGATAAGACGCAAATATTTATACCAGCAACAATTTATAACAAATGCATTATTTTCATAAAAGCACATCCAATTTAGGACAGAATAATCGGATATTAGATAATTCTCAAGTAAGAGTTTCATTTTTAAGGATAATTCAAGATGGAGATAATGAGGGATGGAGAGATTGGGAGGGGTAGAACAGCAGCCTGTAATGTTAAATCTTAAGATTCTCTCTCTTTTCTCTGACTGATCTTTCAAATCCGATGTAGTCCGTTTATACAGAGTTAATATTGAGTCGAAACTTTGACTCGGTTTTTATAACAACAAAATTGTTCAATACGAAAGTTGATACAGAGCTCCCTCGTAATTCACGTAATTCCAGTTGTCGAGTCGAAACATGTCCTGCGGAGAAAAAACTCACGTTCCAAAATACGCGAGGATAATAAAATTCTGCCGGCGAATAGAATTTTGAATCGCACCGTTATACGGCGTATACATCTCTGACTCGGCATTTTTTTCCGCTACTGCGAGCTTTCGCCGTTGAAGCGAGCGGTGTAAATACATCCGAATTAGCCACTAATGCGTTTTTTGCCACCCGTGCATTTGTTAAGCGACCCGCCCTGCCCCCGTCAAAATAAATCTAAACCCATTTCTCCCAAACTCCCGACCTTACGTGAAAGCTCGCGCACGATCGGGTCGACTTAAAAGTCCGAGGTAAATTCGCTTCAGCCGTGGAAATCTTAGGAAACAGAGAGGCATGTTGTCGCCATTTTGCGCGAACAAACACGTATACGATAATGATAATATTGCAATTATTATTGCATTTAGTAGGTCGCGCATGACTTGTTACAGGAAGCAGTCCGAAATGGATGTAATATAGAAACACGCAGTGTCGACAATCTGTTTCGGTGAATGCTCTATTTAAATGGAATTAAATCCTATTTAACTATTATATCGAACGTACATTTGACTCAAATATGCACTCAATTTCATACAAATGGATCACATGTATCCTCTAAAAAATAACACGTTGCACAATAGTTGCGCTGAAAACGAAAATATATTGTTAAGGCGCGCTTAGCGCAACACACCCGATGCCTTCATTTCGCATTCATGCGTACGCAAATATTAAATGTGGGAGCACAGCATTAACTACACGAAGATCTACTGGTAATTCAGCTGTAAATGTATGACGATATCGTGGTTCAAAGCTATCCTAGCTTACGACGTACTATAATAGATTCCACGCTGGCCGCTCTGCGATGGCGCGTTAATGAATGCACTCCGCTTGTGCACCGACGTAATCGCGAACCCGACGAGAGAGTGAAAATGATAATTGGCCGGCAAGGATTTGCGAGGTAACGATGGCACCGGCGACAAAGCCGTAACGGGGCTCGTTAAATATTGATGTACTCAG